CCGTGGGTGCGGTGGCCTCTGTCCGGGGTGGGGTGGGGGGGGGGGGAGCTGGGGGCCCAGCAGCCACCTCTGCTGCTCTCTTGGCTCTGGATATGTGGCCCCAGTGAAGCCCCTGCTTTAGCAGCACTGGCAGTAGGTATTGCACTGAGCAAAAGGAAGTGCATTATAGGGGGTGGGGGTGGTAACAGGGCCATGGTCATCAGACAACGGTTTTCCACACTTTGGGAACTGTGGGCTTGTTCCAGGACTGTGAGCAGGGAGCCAGGAGGATCCTGGGCCCTGCAGAGGGCTCTGTCAGTTCTGCTGCTGAACATTTCCCGTCTCTTCTGCAAAGCTGCGAGGGAGAGGTAGAGCCCTGTTGTCACCTCTGCTACAGACCTGTGGCCCCTGCACAGTTTGTCCTGAGCTGCCAGGACCCCCATGGAGCCACTGGACCCACAGGCTCAGTCCCAGCCTCCCCAGCATGATCCACCAATCTGTGAGACTCACCGTCCCCCAGACCCGGCTCAGCCAGTCCTGGAAGAAGCCCACAATGGAGTGTGAGGTAGAGTACGGATGGTGACCACAAGACAGTGTTTCTCAGGTATTTCCTTCCTTCCTTCCTTCTCTGATGTGCAATGACTTAAATGAGTGCGAGACGTCCTTCTAGCCAGAGGTCTGCTGAGCTTGCCAAGTCTTTTGGGAGATTCAGACCCCACTGCAGCCACAGGAACGCTTAGAACGAAGGTCTAAGCAGGATGCTTGCTGCACTGGTCAGCTGCCACCTACACTTACTGGAGGCTGAGCAGCCTCAAAGTCTGGGTCTGGATGGCAAACTTGCTCCCTGTGGGACAAGGGTTCCCCAGAGAAACAGGCAGAGCTGCCTGGACATGAGTCGTGTAGTGATATGGAATGTGTTATTTCACAGGAATAAACTCCTCCTGATCAGACAGACAAAAAACTGGCAACCTGTACAAACTTAAAAGAATCCATTTTCAGAAAAATAAATTACTAAGGGGAGAGGAGGGTCCATTTCTCAATAAATACGTGATTCAGCTCACCTAAGACTTGGAAATTATCTGGGGACGGGAATCTAACATTTGGGTCCACAAAGGTTATTCTAAATACATCTGCAGCCCCAAACCTCCCCAGGCTCCCTTCTGCCCTTCAAAGTCCCACATCCTTCCAAGCTGCAGGTTTGGCTTCTGCTCGGCCGCACGCGCAGGTGTTGGAG